ATGATGAGAGAAAAAGATGGTACTAGCCTAACGTGAGAGAGAGAGAGAGAGAGAGAGAAAGATGGTCAAGCATACTTCATACAAGGCCCGAGATTCATTCTTATTTCTTTCATAAGATCTCATTCTCACCGGAACCAAAACATATATATATATATATGTATATATATATATATATATATATATATATATATATATATATATATATATATATATATATATATATATATATATATATATATATATATATATATATATATATATACATATATATATATATATGTTTTGGTTCCGGTGAGAATGAGATCTTATGAAAGAAATAAGAATGAATCTCGGGCCTTGTATGAAGTATGCTTGACCATCTTTCTCTCTCTCTCTCTCTCTCTCTCACGTTAGGCTAGTACCATCTTTTTCTCTCATCATTTATTTCTTTTTTCTCTCTTTGATATCCTTCCATCTTTGCCATAAATAACATTTAATTTCTTCATTCTTTGCTTCTTAATTCTTTGGATGGTGAGTTACATGAGTTATCTAATTTGATTTTTTTCATCGCGACTTGCTTTTTGTTGGCGATGTAGATCGCAATCTAGGGAGGAGATAGAGCATGGCACCTGATCGATGACGGTGGGATTGGAATTTGCTTCGTTCCATCTAATATAATAGGGTTTAATTTCCCCTTTTCTTTTTGTTTTAATCAATTTACATTGAAATTTTTAGAAAATTAATGAATCATTCGAGTCTATCTTTGATTTTATTCTTTTGATAGTTGATTTTCACTTTTGCAATGTATGTTTAGATTCATGATTGTTAGAAATAATACTAATATTACTCCTGATACTATTAGTTATGGTATTATTTGATTATTAGTCAGCTTACTATTTCTATTTATGGTAGATGTAGTATTTTAGTTAGTTTACATTTTCTATTTCTAGTTGTGTTAGAAGTCTCCTATATATACTCTATCATGTACTCCATAATTCAATGAGCAATATTATTATTCCAATATTTAAACATGGTGTCAGAGCCACCGCTCTTGGTGACCTAAAAGAGTTCTTTGCTTCCGTCGCCGCCGCCGGTAATTCCGGCGACGACGGCTTCACCTTATTCACCTTTATTTAATTTTCCTTCTTTTATCCTCAAATCAACTTCTCCATACAAATGAAAAAAATGAGAAAATCCATGTTGAAATCACACAAAAAAACCATCAAAAGAGGAACTTTTCTCTTGTCATCTCCATGGTTTTTCAAAAAAACCTCAACTCCTCACAAACTCTCTCAACTCATCCCATCTTCTCAAAAAAAGGAAAAAAACGATTGTTGTTTCTCTCCAATTCACCATATCAAAATTTCAAACCCAAATCTTTTTTTTTTCCATCACCAATTCTTAACCCACGTTTTTCCATCACCTCCCTTCTCTTTCTCTTCTGTTGAACCAATAAAAATCCAAAGTAAATCAGCACAAAAGCAAAGTCAAGAGGTAAAGTACTGAAAGAGGAAAGAATACCTCTACAACTCACCCCTTAAAAAAAGAAACAGGGAATTGCCCGGATCCAAGAAAAAGACAAAGAATGTCAAGGATCTTCAATCAAACATACACTTCCAATAGCCTTCTCTGTTCTTCTTCGACGGTCAGTAGCCACAAGCGCACGTCAACACTTTCTCTCTTCTCCAACGACGTCAGCAGCCACCGGCGCACGTCAGACTTCTCTCTTCTCTAATGACGTCAGCAGCCAGCCACTGGCGCATGTCAGACTTCTCTCTTCTCCAACGACGTGAGCAGCCACCGGTGCATGTCAGACTTCTCTCTTTTCTAACGACGTCAGCAGCCACCGGTGCACGTCAGACCTCACGTCAGCAACCACTGGCGCACGTCAGACTTCTCTCTTCTCAAAGTTTCCAGTTTCCAGCTAGTGTCCAAGCTTCCTCTTCCTTCAGCCATAGTTCAGTTTGAGGGGGGATGTTAGAAATAATACTAATATTACTCCTAATACTATTGGTTATGGTATTATTTGATTATTAGTCAGTTTACTATTTCTATTTATGGTAGATGTAGTATTTTAGTTAGTTTACATTTTCTATTTCTAGTTGTGTTAGGAGTCTCTCCTATATATACTCTATCATGTACTCCAAAATTCAATGAGCAATATTATTATTCCAATATTTCAACAATGATGATGTATTTTTTGATTCTGTAAATGCTCTATTGCGCAATTATCTAGGCATTATTTTATTTTTAATGCAAAGAGACATTATTTAATATTTGTTTATGTAATTGGTTTTTTAATATACTAAGAGATTATTTATTTTTAATGTCAATTTTTTAGATTGAAAAATGTTAATTTGTTTGCTTTTGTCTGATATGGTGCATCATCAAAATCTTGGTATGCATTTACATTTGGTGAGAATGCATTCTCATAATCAAGGTAAAGAGTAATACATTCTCTTACTATGTATTTTCATAATCAAGGTAAAAGATAATGCATTATTCGATAATTGTGCATTATTAAAATTAAAGTTGGTGCATTAGATTATGTTATTGTCCTCACATAAATATGGTCACTTGTATATTCTAGGTAGTAAAATTCTTTGCAAATGGTAATGCTTTAAATTGTTTTATGTTACATTTCAAAATGGGTTAGAAACATATTGAATAATGCAAAATTTGTATGATTAAAATGTATATTTAATAGGTCTATGTCCAAGATGAGAGTCTCTAAGAAAAAACAAAGTGTTGACCATTAGCTCAGATGGTAGAGCAATATATACAACAGGTGTGAGTTTGAATCCTACATAGGTAAACTATTTTTCAAAAATATATTACACTTGGTTTGGATGCAATACATTTCAATCTTTGTCATCACATATAAACTTCCTCATGAGTCATTATTCACCAATCCCAATAAATAAATAAAATTTTTATAATATTTAAAGTACAAGTCCTAGTACATATATCATTCATCATAGTGCATTCATAATTTACAATACGTACTGCAGCTATGTATGAGAACAATGCATATAATTTAAAAACCATCACATGAGGAGCAAAAGTGTTCATAAAATTGAATAGTTTTTAGAAGAAAGGAAAAAATTATAAATCTCATATTTTTTGTTTTCAAAAGCGTTAATGAAAAAACTAAATCCCTTGCACAAAGAGATATAAATTAAAAAGAAACAAAATATTACAAACAGTTCAATAGAAAAAATCATTTGTTAT